GTGTGTGTGTATGTGTTTATATGTAAGTGTGTATGTGTGTGTGTTTATATGTGAGTGTGTGTGTTTATATGTAAGTGTGTATGTGTGTGTTTATATGTAAGTGTGTGTGTATGTGTGTGTGTTTATATGTGAGTGTGTGTGTGTTTATATGTAAGTGTATGTGTGTGTGTTTATATGCGAGTGTGTGTGTGTTTATATGTAAGTGTATGTGTGTGTGTTTATATGTAAGTGTGTGTATGTGAGTGTGTGTGTGTTCATATGTAAGTGTATGTGTGTGTGTTTATATGTGAGTGTGTGTGTCCGGCAAAACAACCCCCTACCTCCTCGCGGTGCCGGACGGGCAACTCTGTCGTGGACAGTGCTGTGGGGGGAGGTCCAATTTTGATTGGCTCCTCCCCTCATGGCATATGTGTCCACCACAGGGGCTAAACGGGGGCTCTGGACGGGTGCGAGGGGCTGGTAACTCCTCCACCTTCAATTAATTACCACTAAGCCACGAGTTAAACTGAAATATGTAACTAATAAGCTTGTGCCGGAGGCCCCGGGGGGCCAGGCGTCTATGACGTCTCCTGGCCAAACCCCAATTGGCGGAGCCAGGAGATTGAATATCTACCCTCGGGGCTTCCTCCAGAAACAACGAAAAGCCACTACGGGTGGCAGTGTGGAATGTTCGAACGCTCACTGCGGAGGAGAGGCTGCCACTCCTCTGTCGGGAGCTGGACCGGTACCGCCTGGATCTGTGTGGCATTCAGGAGGTCCGGTGGACCGGCTCTGGCTCCTGCCACCATGAGGGGTGGACAGTCCTCTACTCGGGGCAGCAGACTGCCAAACAACAGGGTGTGGCTCTTCTTTTGAAGAAAAGAATGAAGGGGGCGTGGGAGCGTGGTGGTGAGGTGTGGGAAGCTGTAAGTCCCAGGCTACTTTGGGCTCGCCTTCCCATCAACCGGAGGCGAGGAATGGTGGTCGTGGTGACTTATGCTCCCACCGAAGATGAACATCCGTGGAGGGATGGATGCAGGCAAAGCCGATGAGTCAGATGCCTTCTATGACCTCCTGTCACAGGTGCTGGCTAAAGTGGCCCCTTGGGATAGAGTCATCATGTTGGGTGACTTCAATGCCCGAGTTGGTCATGATACTGGCACCTGGTCTGGAGTGATTGGAGGGCATGGGCCAGATCAGCTCAATAACAACGGTAGGAGGCTGCTAGATTTTTGTGCAGCCCATGGGCTTGTAATTACCAACACGCTGTTCCGGCATCGGCGCATCCACACAACATCATGGATGCATGCCGGGTCCAAGCAAGAACATCTGCTGGACTACATAGTGACGGACCAGCGGATGCGAGCCCATGTCCTTGACACCATGACCTACCGTGGAGCTGATCTGCCCTCTGACCATCGACTAGTCATCTGTAAGATGCGCCTGCCATTCTTCCACTCCGGTGGTGGGTGTACACTCAAGACCCCATTCCAACCTAAAGTGGCCTGGTCTCAGTTATCTGATGAAAGTTGCAAGCGAGAATTTCATCATCGCTTGCGGCTGGGATTGGCATCGTCCCCGACTCCTCCTGATCTCGAGGGTAAATGGGCGAGGTTTAGGACTGTGACTCATGCAGCTGCAATAGCTGCTTTGGGTACGCGGTCCAGACCTCCCCAGAGACCCTGGCTGACAGAGGAGGTGTTCAGGATGGTTGAGAAAAAGCGACAGGCCCACTGTCATTGGCTACAGAATCCCACGTCAGTGAATGAGGAGGCTTACCGCAGCCTTCGCTCGGAGGTTCGGAGAGCCGTGAGGCGCTGCAAGGATGGGTGATGGTCGCGGGTTGCTGAGGAGATGCAGTCTGCCTCAGTGGCCCGTGATCACAAATCTCTATTTAACTCCATCAAAAAAGTAATCTGCAGCGCCACACCTATTACCATCATTAGGGGAAAAAACGGTGATCCAATCTCCGACCCCCAGGAACAGGTTTGCAGATTTGCTGAGCATTTCTGTGAGGTCCTGGGGGAGAGAAAATCCCTCAGCCAGGAAAACAACGTGGCACAAAGTGAGGATGACCCTGCTGAGGGTGCGGTGCCTCAAATATTGGAAGACGTCACCGCCTGTGAGTGGCTGGCTGAGGTGCCATCTGTTGAGGAAGTACTGAAGGCGATCCGGAGTCTGAGACCAGGAAAGGCAGCGGGCAGAGATGATCTCCCAAGCAAAATGCTGAGGGAGGGCGGCATTTGTGCACAGACTGCCCTATATGACATCATAACAACAGTCTGGACCACTGGACGGGTTCCGCAGAATTGGAAGGATGCCCTGGTGGTCCCCCTTCTTAAAAAGGGGGACCGCACAGACTGTAACAACTACAGGGGCATCTCACTCCTCAGTGTGCCGGGAAAGGTCGTGGCAAGGATTATTCAACATCGCCTTGCCAGGCACGCTGAGGAGAGGCTTGCGGAGCCCCAATGCGGTTTCAGGAAAGGGCGGTCCTGCACAGATGCCATATTTTCTGTCCGTCTGCTACAGCAGAGGTGTAGGGAATTCCAACAAGACCTACATCTCTGCTTTATTGGCCTGGTCAAGGCCTATGATACCATCAGTAGGCCTGGGCTCTGGGTTGTTCTTCGTGCTTTCGGAGTACCTGACCCTCTGCTCACGATCATTAAGGACCTTTATGATGGTGAGCGGGCCCGGGTAAAACTACGTGCCCGGGAGTCGGAGCCATTCCCTGTTAACCTTGGGGTGCGACAGGGATGTCCTCTGGCTCCCACATTATTTAACATCTATTTTGACCACGTAGTTCGTGAAGCCTTCAATAGCTGTACCGGGGGAATCTCCATATGGTACAGATATAATGGGAGGCTGATCGACGCCCGGGTGCGGTCAAGGGATGGCTCCCTATTGCTCAACCACGTTATGTATGCTGATGATTTGGTAATAGCTGCTCATTCAGAGGAGGAGTTGGAGACGCTGCTGCTGAGACTGGAGCGTGCCACTAAGAGGTGGGGCCTTACCATCAGCCCCACCAAAACTAAGCACCTGCCTGGGTATTTTGTACCATCGGACACTCCACCCCCACAACTCCCAATCGGTGATGGGGCAGTTGTGGAGAGAGTGGAGAGTTTCCCATACCTGGGCAGTGTGCTTATGACTGGCTCCAGTTTAACAGCAGAGGTCTCACTCCGAATCAGTCGAGCGGCAATATCTTTAAATCGGTTGCGTAACGCTGTGTGGAAGCTACCTGGTCTGTCGCTCCGCACTAAGCTTCAGGTCTTCTCGGCCACGGTCATTCCCTCCCTTCTCTACGCTTGCGAAACGTGCACCCCCCTAATGGAACATCTTCGCCAGTTATAAACATTTAGGCTGGCCTGCCTACGATCCATCCTGGGTTTAACCAGACTGGATTGTGTGAGGAGCTCACAAATCCTTGAAAGATCTGGGCAAGGTCCCATCGGTGAGCTCCTCCGGCGGGGAAGGCTGCGATGGCTGGGTCATGTAGCCCGCATGCCAGCCACCGCATGCCGAAACAGCTTTTGTTCGGCCGGATCGAGGGGGCTAAGCGGGCGCGGCACAGGCTAGAGAAGAGATGGAGTGATGTGGTACAGGAGGACGTCGAGCTGAGTGGACTTGCCGATTGACTGGTACCAGCAGTGTCAAGATCGGCCTCTGTGGAGGAGGCTCGTGAAGGACGCTACTGGGCAGTTGGAGGTAGTCGCCCTCCAACAACAACAGAGGGCGGAGGAGCGACGCTCACAACAACGAGCGGAGCTCCGGGTGGCTAAAGCACAGCAGGTTGGCACAGTAGGGGGCACAGTAGGGGGCACAGTAGGGGGCACAGTAGGGGGCACAGGTGGTGCATCAGCCAGTCATCTCAGTCAGTCGACCCGTGGCACCTGGGTCTGCCCCGTGACCTCCTGCGAGCGGGCGTTCGACACTTCACGTGGCCTCAGGGTGCACATAGCCTGGCACAAGCGTCGTGGTGACGTCACCGCCACTTAGTGGCGAATGGCGGTTGTTGTGTGTTTATATGTTAGTGGATGTGTATGTGTGTGTGTTAATATGTTAGTGTGTGTGTATGTGTGTGTGTTTATATGTTAGTGTGTACATGCGTGCTGTATGTTTGACTGATCAAGGTGCTGTCCGCTGCTTGAATGTCATAAGCCCGAGCAGCTGTAGGTCCATGGGAGAGAGAGAAGTGCAGTGACATTTGCAAATGTCAGACGCGGAGAGGCAATCGCTGATGGAGCCACGATAGAGCCTCGCGCAAAAACACAAAACCCTCCCTCCTCCCCCAACCCCCCTCCAACCCCCCTCCCTGCCCCCCAAATAAATCGAATTACAGCAATGTCGAGACGAACGACGAGGAGCGAACGTCGACATCGGGCCAGCGAGGGAGCTTAGCGGGAGCCAGGGGGCTACGAGACGCCCGGGACGGGCTGGGTGGTGGGACGGACGGATTAGCGGATGGACAAATACGGACAAAGAAAGATAGAAGTTATGGGTGGGTGGACAGGTCACGGTGGACGGAGGGACAGACGGATGGACAGACTTGAGCGTGGACAGATGGACGCACGGACAGGTGCTCGATCGAGACGGAGAGATGGACAGACAGAAGGGAGAGAGATACACACGGGCAAGACAAAGATGCCCTGTTTAGCCTCAATAGACTGTTGGGGCAAGTGCTGTTAGCGAGCATATATGAAGGCCGGCACGGCGCACGAGGGGATGGGTGACCAACGCCACGCCCGGCCGCCTTTGTCTCCCAAAGTGGAGATGTCGCACCAGGTACTCATTTGAGGCTGAGTCGACCTAGGGGAGGGCCCAGGACCGGTTGAAATTAATCGTCAATGGTGTTGGCGGTGGGCTGGAATCGAACTGGGGGGGGGGGGGCTGGGTTGGCACCATCACTCCCCACACAGACACACACAGAGGCAGGCACAGGCTGCTAGGATCCCGTAAATAAACGATGGGCCCCCACTCTTGCTGCTGCTGTTTTTGTTGCGGCTGTAGCTTACCTTGCGCACGTGCTCCTGCAGTCCCTCGACCCCGTAGAGCCGCATCACGAACCACAGCTTGAGCGAGCGGAAGCGCCGGCCCAACGGGATCTGCCAGTGCTGGGGGGAGCGAGACACGGGGGCAGGGTCAGAGTGAGACACGGGGCCAGGGTCAGAGTGAGACACGGGGGCAGGGTCAGAGTGAGACACGGGGGCCAGGGTCAGAGTGAGACACGGGGCCAGGGTCAGAGTGAGACACGGGGCCAGGGTCAGAGTGAGACACGGGGCCAGGGTCAGAGAGAGACACGTGGTGGTGAGGGAGTGAGACACGTGGTGGTGAGGTAGTGAGACACGTGGTGGTGAGGGAGTGAGACACGTGGTGGTGAGGGAGTGAGACACGTGGTGGTGAGGGAGTGAGACACGCGGTGGTGAGGGAGTGAGACACGTGGTGGTGAGGGAGTGAGACACGTGGTGGTGGTGAGGGAGTGAGACACGTGGTGGTGGTGAGGGAGTGAGACACGCGGTGGTGAGGGAGTGAGACACGCGGTGGTGAGGGAGTGAGACCGTGGTGGTGAGGTGGTGAGGTAGTGAGACACGTGGTGGTGAGGGAGTGAGACACGTGGTGGTGAGGGAGTGAGACACGTGGTGGTGAGGGAGTGAGACACGTGGTGGTGAGGGAGTGAGACACGTGGTGGTGAGGGAGTGAGACACGTGGTGGAGAGGGAGTGAGACACGTGGTAGTGAGGGAGTGAGACACGGGGTGGTGAGGGAGTGAGACACGTGGTGGTGAGGGAGTGAGACACGTGGTGGTGAGGGAGTGAGACACGGGGTGGTGAGGGAGTGAGACACGAGGGAGTGAGACACGTGGTGGTGAGGGAGTGAGACACGGGGATGCAGAGACGAGTAATTCGTTGTTCTCAGTCACAAATTGTTACTGAACATTTAAATTACCATATAGGAGGAATTAATTATAATAGTTTTACCCTGTAATCCGTAATGAGTCCTGCTCACATCAGCACAGAAAAGAAGAATAGAATTAACAGCATTGTTATTTTGAAATACATCATTGGTAGAAGGAGGTGGGATGGGCTTAATAATGATAGTGAAGTACGTTGTGATGGAATGGATGAGCGAACGAGGTGGCCACAGCGCGGATTTCATTTCTCATCGAATCGTTTCCTGAGCCACCCAACCCGCATCATCTCCCGACAGCGAAGGAGAGCGGTGGCGGCGGTGTGGGGGGAAATATTTTCTGGAGCTCAGCCCCGGCCAGCTCTGGCTGACATGAATCCGCGGCGGTGAGGCGTGAGGGCTGCGGCTGGAACCTCACCCGACTCCTGGTGATCGTGTTGCAGGTACAGTGGTTCCATCTTGAAGGCGCTGATGAGGTCTGCCTTGCTCTTCACCCTGCACGACAAGAGAGGTTGGCTGGGTGATGGACGCATACAGCCACCCTCTCTCCCCCTCCCTCTTTCTCTTGTATCGATCCACTGCTGGATGAGGGCCTTCTTACGCCGCGCGGGTCCAGGCGGCTATGAGACCACGTGGTTTCAGCAGAGTTGGTCGAACAGAGTGGAGCAACAGGGACGTCAAGAATAAACTCCTCATCCGAGACACACACATCATCACCGCACCTCCTCAAGGCGTTGAACCTCGTCCCCCCTCCTCCCCCTCGAGGACGCAGGAGGAACCATCAACAACCGCATCAGAACATCAGCAGCAGCAGGCCGATGCGCACACGGCCTCCGTGACTGTAACATTGACGACGCGAGCCACGGCAGTAGTGCGATTGTGGCTTCGCACCTCCGCTTAGCGCGGTTGGCTACGTGTGGTGCCAAAGTAGTTCAGCATACACACTATGGGGCCATAAGTAAACTCATCGTGACCCATAGAGATACACTGAAGACAAGGCACAGTGGTGCGATTGTGGCCATGCAACCGGACCACCCAGTTAGCCCGCTGTGCTCTGCGCTCCTACGGAGGAGGAACGGCGACACGACACAGAGGGAGAAGAGTAGGAAGAGCGGAACGACGCGAACTCTCTCTCTCTGCTGAAGCCCTCCCGTCGTGGCCAGCAGCAGCAGCACCTCGACATTGGCATCGAGCTCCTGAGCCGCATTGCCGTACGCAATAATACAACAGCAGAGGTTGGCGAAGGCTGGGACCATCGACGTGGGAGCATAGTACAGTCCAATATGTTCAAGATGTACTCGCGCAGCCCGGAGCTGTCCAGTTTAATGGAGGGCGATGCCTAAGGGGGGCCACCAGGTGGCGTGAGATTGACGAGTGGAGGCGTGACATTAACGAGTGGTGGCGTGAGATTGACGAGTGGTGGCGTGAGATTGACGAGTGGAGGCGTGACATTAACGAGTGGTGGCGTGAGATTGACGAGTGGTGGCGTGAGATTGACGAGTGGTGGCGCGCAAAACATTTCGTGGCCGATGTCTTTACAAGTCGCTCGATCTGCAAAACATCACTCTAGCTGCAGAGTGACGGGTCACTCTAGCCGCAGAGTGACGGGTCACTCTAGCCGCAGAATGACGGGTCACTCTAGCCGGAGAGTGACGGGTTACTCTAGCTGCAGAGTGACGGGTCACTCTAGCCGGAGAGTGACGGGTCACTCTAGCTGCAGAGTGACGGGTCACTCTAGCTGCAGAGTGACGGGTCACTCTAGCCGCAGAGTGACGGGTCACGTTAGCTGCAGAGTGACGGGTCACTCTAGCCACAGAGTGACGGGTCACTCTAGCTGCAGAATGACGGGTCACTCTAGCCGCAGAGTGACGGGTCACTCTAGCCGCAGAGTGACGGGTCACTCTAGCTGCAGAGTGACGGGTCACTCTAGCTGCAGAATGACGTGTTACTTTAGCCGCAGAGTGACGGGTCACTTTAGCCGCAGAGTGACGGGTCACTCTAGCCACAGAGTGACGGGTCACTCTAGCTGCAGAATGACGGGTCACTCTAGCCGCAGAGTGACGGGTCACTCTAGCCGCAGAGTGACGGGTCACTCTAGCCGCAGAGTGACGGGTTACTCTAGCCGGAGAGTGACGGGTCACTCTAGCCGGAGAGTGACGGGTCACGTTAGCCGCAGAGTGACGGGTCACTTTAGCTGCAGAGTGACGGGTCACTCGAGCCGCAGAGTGACGGGTCACTCTAGCCGCAGAGTGACGGGTCACTCTAGCCGCAGAGTGACGGGTCACTCTAGCCGCAGAGTGACGGGTTACTCTAGCCGGAGAGTGACGGGTCACTCTAGCCGCAGAGTGACGGGTCACGTTAGCCGCAGAGTGACGGGTCACTCTAGCCACAGAGTGACGGGTCACTCTAGCCGCAGAGTGACGGGTCACTCTAGCCGCAGAGTGACGGGTTACTCTAGCTGCAGAGTGACGGGTTACTCTAGCCGGAGAGTGACGGGTCACTCTAGCCGGAGAGTGACGGGTCACGTTAGCTGCAGAGTGACGGGTTACTCTAGCCGCAGAGTGACGGGTCACTCGAGCCGCAGAGTGACGGGTTACTTTAGCCGCAGAGTGACGTGTTACTTTAGCCGCAGAGTGACGGGTTACTCTAGCCGCAGAGTGACGTGTTACTTTAGCCGCAGAGTGACGGGTTACTCTAGCCGCAGAGTGACGTGTTACTCTAGCCACAGAGTGACGGGTCACGTTAGCCGTAGAGTGACGGGTTACTTTAGCCGCAGAGTGACGGGTTACTCTAGCCGCAGAGTGACGGGTCACTTTAGCCGCAGAGTGACGTGTTACTTTAGCCGCAGAGTGACAGGTTACTTTAGCTGCAGAGTGACGGGTTACTCTAGCCGCAGAGTGACGGGTTACTTTAGCCGCAGAGTGACGGGTTACTCTAGCCGCAGAGTGACAGGTTACTTTAGCTGCAGAGTGACGGGTTACTTTAACCGCAGAGTGACGGGTTACTGCTTCATCCTTTGCCCTTCAATTCATCTTCGGAGCAGCTCGCCTAATTTATATAAAGCACAAAACACAATTAGTGCAGTGGTGGTGGAGGTGAGACGATGCATCAACTCAGATCTCAGGCTGAGTGTGTTTGGGGGGGGGGGCGGGCGTTCAGATCGCGCGAGGCGCCTGTGGGGTGCCGCCTTGTCCCGCCGCGCTTCACGGGAAATGTTCACTGCGCGTTTCCCAAATCGTTCAGGATGGCCATTTTTGGTTGTTGTTGTTTTTGCAAATAAAAAATGTTGGCGATGTCTGGCCGTGACGCCGACACACGTGGCCTGCTCTCTTGTCGAACGACGTCACAGGATGTTGTTGTTGTTGTTGTTGTTTTTGCGGTTGACGTCCGCGCACGTGAGGCAGACCACGCGCAGCGTTCACGAGGGGTAACGTTGCGCCAAACGTTGGGGGCAACGTTACGCCAACGTCCACCTGTTTACTGGGTAAAGTGAGGAGGAGTGTGGGGTGATGGGGTGGTGAGGAAGTGAGATCGGAGGGATTGGAGGCAACTTGAGCCGTGGATCTGCCCTTGGGCTCAGAGCGAGCGAGACAGAGAGTCGGATAGACTCTGCGATCGGCCACATTTGAAATGTTCCGCGGCTGAACAAATAATCGATAGACGAACGACTTGCTAGGGCAAACGCCGCAATCACGTGTCGATCGCCGCAATCACGTGTCGATCGCCGCAATCACGCGTCGATCGCCGCAATTACGTGACCCCCAATTGCGGAGCGATCACCACGCAAATTGGCGAGCGTCGCTTGCGAATCTGACGTGGCAGAGTCCATGGCGGAGGGGAGGGGGGGGTGGACCATACTTCACCACACTGGAGAGTATAGATTAGTTAACGGGGAGGAACAAAAGGCCAGCTTCAGGTGTTGGCCGTGGCTTGGAATCTAACTGGCGTGGCCCCGAGGGTTGAGGACGCAGCGCGCTGGCCACTGCGACACCACTCCTCGCCAACATGGCGTGGGGGAGGCCTTCATCCAGCAGTGGATTGGCACCGAGTGCTGTGCCGGAGGTGCCGCGACAGCTGCACGATTTTAACGTCGAGTCTCAAGGCGTGCTTAAAGGACAGCCCTGCGTTGGGACGTTTGGCCGATTCCACTCAAAGATCTACGGTGTCCCGTGGGCAGTGACCTGGTTGAGATTGAAGGGCGGTTGATTATCTCAAAGCCCGAGTATTGCGATGGCATTTGGTAATCGTTTAATAGATTACTCTTTGAAATTCCTGTCATACCAGCTGTGCTATCTGGGGTGTCCTTTCGTGAGATGAAGTTTCCATTAGTAAATCCCACACAGCAGCGAGTTAACCCCCCCCCAGCCCCGCCGAGCGTTAGGGAATGTCACGTGGAAGGATATATCACAGAACTCCTTGAGAGGTCCATTGAAGTGACGTATTCTACTTGCACACTAGGGGGCACCACTTACCCGCAATGTCCTGCCGGCAGAGAGACGTTCTCAGTCAAGGGGTTTTTGTTTTACAGTAAAGTCTCGGAGCTGGGAGTGGAGCAAACGCAGTGGAAAGCCACATTTATAATGACGAGGGGGGCGGGTTCTGTGCAGTTGCCTGTGACCAGGCTAAGACATCAACTCGCTACACTTGCAAACCTGGGGCGACTCAGAGCCAAACTCGAATCCAGGTTCGCGGAGATGGCTGGTTCAGTGTCCCTGAAAGCCTCAGCAAAGACCTGTATCTGTACTTATACAGCGCTGTGCCACTCCACTGCTGGACGAGGGCCTGCCCATGGCGTTGCAGGTCGTGTGGGGGTGGGACGTTATTGGACGATACCTCTCCACGCTGGTCAGTGCGTGTTGGTTAAGGTGGCGGGAGGGAGTATCGACGCGGGAACACATAAGTGCAGTACAACAGTGGCTTGGGTGGTCCCAGCAACCCATAACACCTGCCACTAACCCGCCTCTTACACTATTCTATGTTAACCAAAAGTTCACAAATCTGCTGCTCCACGACTATACGCCAGGCCCGCAGGCTTTTCAGAGTCGCACGTTTGCGCATTAAAGCGTGGGACGCCACGGGTCGAGCGGAGTGTTGTTGTTGTCGTCGTGGGTAACGTGAGTGAGAGAGTGAGTGCGTGAGTGTCGTACCACATGGCCGAGCAGTCAAAGTTCACCTCCATCATTTTGTGCGGGTTGAAATTGAAGGAGTCTGCAAACTGAGACAAAAAGAAAAGAAAATACACCACGTGAAATATTTCCAGTGGATTGTGATCACAACCACCGCGAGAATGCGAAGGGGCCGGTGGTGGCGATGCCACTGCACGTGGTTGCCTCTAACCCAGCACCGTGGGTTGGTGGATCACCGCACACAGGATGTTTGTTGTAGGTGCTCACCCCGAGCTCTCGTTGTCTTTGTGCTGTACGCCATTCGGCGTCCTCTGGTCTAACAACGCTTGAGACGAGGCTCAAAAGAAAGCTGTTTCTGGTATGGAGCAATCAGTTTCAAAGGCAATGCATATACAGTGAGGGAAAAAAGTATTTGATCCCCTGCTGTTTTTTTACGTTTGCCCACTGACAAAGAAATGATCAGTTTATAATTTTAATGGTAGGTTTATTTGATCAGTGAAAGAAAGAATAACAACAAAAAAATCCAGAAAAACGCATGTCAAAAATGTTATAAATTGATTTGCATTTTAATCAGGGAATAAGTATTTGACCCCCTCCCAATCAGAAAGATTTCTGGCTCCCAGGTGTCTTTTACACAGGTAACGAGCTGAGATTAGGAGCACACTCTAAAAGGGAGTGCTCCTAATCTCAGCTTGTTACGTATATAAAAGACACCTGTCCACAGAAGCAATCAATCAATCAGATTCCAAACTCTCCCCCATGGCCAAGACTAAAGAGCTCTCCAAGGATGTCAGGGACAAGATTGTAGACCTACACAAGGCTGGAATGGGCTACAAGACCATTGCCAAGCAGCTTGGTGAGAAGGTGACAACAGTTGGTGCGATTATTCGCAAATTGAAGAAACACAAAATAACTGTCAATCTCCCTCGGCCTGGGGCTCCGTGCAAGATCTCACCTCGTGGAGTTGCAATGATCATGAGAACGGTGAGAAATCCGCCCAGAACTACACGGGAGGATCTTGTCAATGATCAAGGCAGCTGGGACCATAGTCACCAAGAAAACAATTGGTAACACTCTACGCCGTGAAGGACTGAAATCCTGCAGCGCCCGCAAGGTCCCCCTGCTCACGAAAGCACATATGCATGCCCATCTGAAGTTTGGCAATGAACATCTGAATGATTCAGAGGACAATTGGGTGAAAGTGTTGTGGTCAGATGAGACCAAAATGGAGCTCTTTGGCATCAACTCAACTCGCCGTGTTTGGAGGAGGAGGAATGCTGCCTATGACCCCAAGATCACCATCCCCACCGTCAAACATGGAGGTGGAAACATGCTTTGGGGGTGTTTTTCTGCTAAGGGCATAGGACAATTTCACCGCATCAAAGGGACGATGGACGGGGCCATGTACCGTCAAATCTTGGGTGAGAACCTCCTTCCCTTAGCCAGGGCATTGAATGGATTGTGGATGAGTATTCCAGCATGACTGACCCACAACACACGGCCAAGGCAACAAAGGAGTGGCTCAAGAAGAAGCACATTAAGGTCCTGGAGTGGCCTAGCCAGTCTCCAGACCTTAATCCCATAGAAAATATGTGAAGGGAGCTGAAGGTTCGAGTTGCCAAACGTCAGCCTCGAAACCTTAATGACTTGGAGAAGATCTGCAAAGAGGAGTGGGACAAAATCCCTCCTGAGATGTGTGCAAACCTGGTGGCCAACTATAAGAAACGTCTGACCTCTGTGATTGCCAACAAGAGTTTTGCGACCAAGTACTAAGTCATGTTTTGCGGAGGGGTCAAATACTTATTTCCCTCATTAAAATGCAAATCAATTTATAACATTTTTGACATGCGTTTTTCTGGATTTATTTGTTGTTATTGTGTCTCTCACTGTTCAAATAAACCTACCATTAAAATTATAGACTGATCATTTCTTTGTCAGTGGGCAAACGTACAAAATCAGCATGGAATCAAATACTTTTTTCCCCTCACTGTATCATCAGAGTACGTTTTTTGTTTGCATTTTGACCACAAGTATTGTGGTTAATGCAGACATAATTCCTTGTCAAAGGTTTTAGTTTGGTGTTTAAACAACTTAACATCTTTTGATTTAAAGCTTTCGTGACTGCAGTAATTCATATTCTTAGTTTTTTCGGTAAAGTCACGTTGAAGAGAAACAACAAAATAACAAAATATATATAAAACAATAAAAAAAATAAAAAAAATAAAAAATTCTCACGACGTTTCGACCATAACTCAAACGGTCATCGACACACCTGATGATGACCGTTTGAGTTATGGTCGAAACGTCGTGAGAATTTTTTATTGTTTTATATATATTTTGTTATTTTGTTGTTTCTCTTCAACGTGACTTTACCGAAAAAACTAAGAACTTAACATCTGTTTTGTTGCCAGATAAAAGGGGAAAAACCGATTCTCATATGTTGGTACTGGCAAAGGAGGTCCCATGATGAGGATGTTTGTTGTGAAACTCCTTTTGCACGTGGGCACCAAGGTCGCAAGGCTACGCCGGAGTCGAGAGCCGTGCCCCTTATCACGGGGTCCGAGTCTGGAGTTTGACCTTTGAGCCGTCGGAGCAACGGTGGCGCGTTGATGATGCTCGGCACGGCACAGCGCTCAGCTCACTCGCGAGCTGAATGGGGCGCCAGTACAAATCCCAGCTCAACGTCGTCAGCGTCGTCATCTTCCCTTAAGGTTGTCAATCATCGTCGTCGTCATCATCCAGCACCTCCAGAATCACAACAGCCGCCACCACTACCGCCACCACCACCAGGAATATTGCCATTATCGCCACCACCACCATCACCACCACAGCCACAGCCACCACCAAGTTTACCACTGCCAGCACCAGCACCGCCACCACCACCACCACCACCAAGTTTATCACTGCCAGCACCAGCACCGCCACCACCACCAGCACCGCCACCACCACCAGCACCGCCACCACCACCACCAGCACCGCCGCCACCACCACCACCACAGCAATCACGACCACTACGTCCGCCTCAATTACCGCCCTCCCGGCCTGCTGCGGCAGATATCAAATTGCCTCGGGCGCTGGCACTTGAGCGCTGCTCTCTGGGAATGGAGGCGGGCGAGGCGGGCGGGCGGGCGGGCGGCTGGGTGGGATGGACAAACGTGACCGGAGCGTGGACGCGGCAATCGCGGAGTGCCACTTCGCCTGCGCGCACCACAATAAGGAGGCGCGCGGCTTTAATGAGGGCGCCGCTCCGCCAGAGAAGGCAATCAGCAGCGCGCGGAGAGCACACGTGTCGCTGTGGTTGTTGCGTTGTGGTTGCCGGGCCGGAGTGGTGGTGGTTGGTAGCTTGACTCGGCCTCGACCGAGTACCCGGTGCCGGTGTGTATCCATCGCAAACGAGGGAGACAAAGGTGGCCGGGCGTGGTGCTGGCCTTCATCGTAGGTGCTGCCCGCTAGAAGCACTTGACCTAACAAGTTTGGTGAAGAGGCTATATGGGGGGTCTTTGTCTTTGGTGTTGTGCGCGGGTTTTTGACCAGGTGAACACGGGGCGCTTGTCAATGATGGAGAAAACTCGACGCGTTTGGCAATAATCCTCGCCCTGTCTCATAGAGAGAGAGAGAGATATCTGCAGAGAGCGACAAGGCGAGAGACACAGAGGCGCACAGTGAGACAGACTCCATACACGGCGAGATCTACAGACACACACACACAGAGACACGGAGAGAGTTAGAGAGACACATCTGGAGAGACACATACGGAGACACACACACAGAGACACGGAGAGAGATACTTGAAGTGAGACTCCATACATGGCGAGACGTATGGACACCTCCATGCATCCCCCCACACCTCCCTAATAAAAGTGTTCCACGCTCATGGCACGCCTCGTGTCTCCACGCGGGCTCCCGTCTGATCGCGCTATCGATTAGTTGTGTAAACAGCAGCAGTAGCAGCAGCAGCAACAACAACAACAACCACCACCACGATAAACGGCAGCCGGGCTCATAAAGCATCGCTCAGGTGGAGAGCGAGAAATTGAACGGTTCGTTTTTTAAAGCTGCAGCGGAGATCCACGACGTGATAGAGATGAGAGAGGAAGAGAGAGAGAGGCTCGGAGAGAGAGAGGGGGGAGGGCAGAGAGATGAAAGGATTTACCGGGAAGGTGACGTGGTGCACGGCGAGTTGGAGAGAGGCAGAGAGCGAGAGAGCGAGCAAGAGAGAGAAAGAGAGGGTGAGTGGAGAGAGGCGAGTGAGAGGAGAGAGGGTGAGTGGAGAGAGGAGAGAGAGAGGAGAGAGGGTGGCGTTGAGAGAGAGAGGCGAGAGAGAGGAGGTGGCCTTCACAAATGTAAAGAGGAAGGTGCTCTACTCCTAGATGGTCCAGTTTCACCAACAGGACACCCTGAGGAGCCACAAGGACCATGCCTGGAGGAAAGCCCTGCCCTGCGTCTCTCCGGAGAGGCCTCGCTGGAGGCAACTCTACTGCAGACCGACGTACAACCGCATCGGCGACCTCAGCTGGAGCATCGCCCACGGCACCGTCACCACCAACGCCTCCCTGGCGCGCTTCACCGACACGTCTCCGGAGTGCCGGTTCTGCGGTAAAGTGGAGACGGTGGCGCACCAATACGTGGAGTACAAGAGCCTGGACTCGTTGTTCAAGGTCCTGAGAAACATCCTCCTAAGGTTCAGCCTCCACTTCTCCCCGGCGGTCCTCATCTTTGGATACCCGAAGGGCGACGGACCCCAACATCTTCAGGGGCTGGTCAATGTGCTCGTCGGCTACGTCAAGCTCGCCATATACAGGGCGAGGAAGATGGTCCTGGAGGGGAAACGTCTGGCCAGCAGCCTGGGCATCTTCCGTGCTCTGGTCGGAGCCAGGGTGTGGGCTGGAGTTCCGCCATGCGCAGCTGACCCACGCCGTGCCGGCCTTCAAGGAGCAGTGGGCACTGGAGGAGGCCGTGTGCTCGGTGGCAGATGACGGTAGAGAGCTCTGCATGTAGATATAAGCTACCCGTCGGAGGCCGTTTGACTGTGGGAAGGGCTGCGTGCAGATGCAGCACTTGTCGTAGTTATAAAAAAAATAGAGAGCGAGAGAGTGGGCGAGAAAGAGCGAAATGGAGTAGGAAGAGAGGGGGCAGAGAGGGGGGCAGAGAGGGGGGTAGAGAGAGATGAGGGGCAGAGAGGGGGGTAGAGAGAGAGGGAAGGGGTAAGGAGAGCAGGAAAAAAAAGAAAAAATATTTATTTTGTTGGGTCTTTCATTTAAAAGGGGGGGGGGGGGGGTGTTACATAAAGCAAAGCATAAAAAAACCGAAATGATGAACGGAGCAAAGTGCCAATACACCGAGCATCTTCTTGTTTCCTCTGATCGTAAAAAAGAGAGAGAGGGTGAGTGGAGAGAGAGAGGGTGAGTGGAGAGAGAGAGAGAGAGGGTGAGTGGAGAGAGAGAGAGAGAGGGTGAGTGGAGAGAGAGAGAGAGAGGGTGAGTGGAGAGAGAGAGAGAGGGTGAGTGGAGAGAGAGAGAGAGAGAGGGTGAGTGGAGAGAGAGGGAGGGTGAGTGGAGAGAGAGAGAGGGTGAGTGGAGAGAGAGAGGGGGTGAGTGGAGAGAGAGAGGGGGTGAGAAAGAGGGTGAGTGGAGAGAGAAAGAGGGTGAGTGGAGAGAGAAAGAGGGTGAGTGGAGAGAGAGAGGGAGAGAGGGTGAGTGGAGAGAGAGAGAGAGAGGGTGAGTGGAGAGAGAGAGAGAGAGGGTGAGTGGAGAGAGAGAGAGAGGGTGAGTTGAGAGAGAGAGAGAGAGGGGGGGTGAGTTGAGAGCGAGAGAGAGGGTGAGTTGAGAGAGAGAGAGAGGGCGAGTGGAGAGAGAGAGAGAGAGGGGGGGTGAGTTGAGAGCGAGAGAGAGGGTGAGTTGAGAGAGAGAGAGGGCGAGTGGAGAGAGAGAGGGCGAGTGGAGAGAGAGAGAGGGTGAGTGGAGAGAGAGATGGGGTGAGTGGAGAGAGGGTGAGTGGAGAGAGGGTGAGTGGAGAGAGAGAGAGAGAGAGGGTGAGTGGAGAGAGAAAGAGGGTGAGTGGAGAGAGAAAGAGGGTGAGTGGAGAGAGAGAGGGTGAGTTGAGAGAGAGAGGGTGAGTTGAGAGAGAGCGAGAGAGGGTGAGTGGAGAGAGAGAGGGTGAGTGGAGAGAGAGGGGGGGTGGAGAGAGAGGGTGAGTGGAGAGAGAGGGGGGGGGGTGGAGAGAGAGAGGGTGAGTGGAGAGAGAGAGGGTGAGTGGAGAGAGAGGGGGGGGTGGAGAGAGAGAGGGTGAGTGGAGAGAGAGAGAGGGTGAGTGGAGAGAGAGAGGGTGAGTGGAGAGGGTGAGTGGAGGGAGAAAGAGGGTGAGTGGAGAGAGAGAGAGGGTGAGTGGAGAGAGAGAGGGTGAGTGGAGAGAGAGGGTGAGTGGAGAGAGAGAGAGGGTGAGTGGAGAGAGAGAGAGGGTGAGAATGTCAACTTCACCTCGACTCCGTTGAGGAGGGGTCTGAACTCGGGGCAGATGAAGGCGCTGCCCGCGTACGCGGCGTCGATGTGCATCCAGAGTCCCTCGCGTTCACCTGCCCCACGTGCCACACACAAAGACAAAGGTTCCCCGTAAAGCCTCAGACACACTGGTAGGGCAAGTGCTGTTGACGAGCACCGCCACGGCATACGAGGGGGTGAAGATATTCGTTACTGATGTTGACCGTGAGCGGGAATCAAATTCAGGTTGCCGTCTTTTGTAATGCAAGGCGCTAATCACTGCGCTAACCACTGCGCCACCGCTCCCCATAACTTATGTATACAGATACACAACCTCATACATGCATCGTTGCCAAGGTTAGGGATATGATTTTGAGTCAGGAATACGGCCTAAGCTAGAGAGAAGCTCAGGGCTAGGCTCAGGACTGGGCTAGGGTTCGGGTCTAAGTGAAAGTCTAAGCGAGGGCTGAACTAAGCTAGGGGCAAGCGAAGCTACGGCTCGTATCGTAGTGGCAGGGCCAGTGCTCGTGTCGGGGCTGATCTGGGTACTGGGGCCGGTACTGGGGCCGGTACTGGGGCCGGTACTGGGGCCGGTACTGGGGCCGGTACTGGGGCCGGTACTGGGGCCGGTACTGGGGCCGGTACTGGGGCCGGTACTGGGGCCGGTACTGGGGCCGGTACTGGGGCCGGTACTGGGGCCGGTACTGGGGCCGGTACTGGGGCCGGTACTGGGGCCGGTACTGGGGCCGGTACTGGGGCCGGTACTGGGGCCGGTACTGGGGCCGGTACTGGGGCCGGTACTGGGGCCGGTACTGGGGCCGGTACTGGGGCCGGTACTGGGGCCGGTACTGGGGCCGGTACTGGGGCCGGTACTGGGGCCGGTACTGGGGCCGGTACTGGGGCCGGTACTGGGGCCGGTACTGGGGCCGGTACTGGGGCCGGTACTGGGGCCGGTACTGGGGCCGGTACTGGGGCCGGTACTGGGGCCGGTACTGGTCTCGCGTGATGGGCTAGAGTCAGAACTTGACAAGATTTATTATTTGGTCAAAGATCTAAGCTGGGGGGGATTGGAGCTAAGGCTCGTGTCAGGGTTAGGGAGAGGGTTCAGGGCTAGGGACAGGGCTAGGGGTCAGGGCTAGGGTCAGGGGTCAGGGCTAGGGACAGGGCTAGTGACAGGGGTCAGGGCTAGTGACAGGGCTAGTGACAGGGATCAGGGCTAGGGTCAGGGCTAGGGTCAGGGGTCAGGGCTAGTGTGTGTATGTGTGTGGGGGGGGGGGGTCGTGTTGGAGAAACTCACACACGGGTCCCAGCTCCATGATGCTGTCAAAGGCGCAGGAGGGCGTGGTGCCCAGTGTGGCGCACAGCTGGGGGGGGGGCACGTGGGTTGGGGGGTTGGGGGGTTGGGGGGGACACAGCGTCACGCGCGGCTCCCCGACTCGTGTCCTCGTGGGCTCCGGCCCCTCCCCCACGCTCACCAATCTTACCCGTTCGCATGTAAACAACATCCTTACATGCTGAACGCGCCTGATGAGTTGCAAATATGAGCTCTTTACTCTTTAGTTTAAAATATTAATATTTTTAAAATATATGTTTGTAGTATTTAGAAAAAACTACTTTATTCAGCGGAGGAGGGCTCACGGAAGCGGATATCGTAGAGCTACGTCTGAGATGCATCCCTTGACGTGACCCCTGTTCCACCCGTCCTGTTACTGAGAGTTACTCCTCGTCTCAGGACAGTGACACCGATATCTTTTGGGGAATTGGAATTCATCCGAATTAAGTGCAGCACGAAATTGATTGCGATTGATGTGTTTTTTTTTTTAGGCCAGACATTGGTGACCGGACTGAGACCATCAACTCACTCACATCCGTGAGAACTCGGCTTAACCACAGGCACGCAGCGGCAGACACCTGCATTCGAACATCGCCTCTCGGCGATTCCGGCTCAGTTTCATGACCTCTGAGGTGCCCGGCTACTTCCACTGGCTAATACAGACCTCCAAAGGACACACGCGCAAGCACACATAACGCGCGATGTCTATCTTAATCACAATCACTGCTTTCTGCGTCACGTCGAACACACGCGCAGACACACCAGATCTGTATCGAATGATGAATCAGCGCAAGCTACGTCACGTGGAAAACCCACGTACACAGGCTCCCTCCCTCCGTATAGCCGTAATGGGCTGTTAGCGAGCATCTATTAAGACCAGAACGGCACACAAGGGGGTGATTTGCCAGCACCACGCCCTGCCGCCTTTGTCTTCCTGGAGCCGATGTGTACCGATGGCACTACGTACAGCACTCATTTCAGGCTGAGTCGACCTAGGGTTGGCCCAGGACCGGTTCAGATAATCGTCACTCACGTTGTTCGTCATCGGGAACTCCAGTGGCCGGGTTCGCAGCGTGCACACACACACACAAATGCACACATGCACACACGCACGCACACACATGCACACACGCACGCACACAAACACATGCACACACACGCACGCACACACACACACACACACAAATGCACACACGCACGCACACACGCACACACCGGTCCTGGGTCTCCTCGTCATCAACCCGTGTTGACCAGCGTGGTGAAGTATGGTTAATATGGTGGAGGCCTCCATCCAGTGAATGGCAAAGGGCTCTAAATGATGACGATGATTGCCATCATCGTACATGACATAATTCAAGGGTATCCTGGAATACCAATGCCATTTTTGCTCAGTGAACCAACCGCGGTCTGCGCTCCTTCGACAGAAGCGGAGGAGGAACAGTGGCACGACGCGAACTCTCTCTCTGCTGAAGCCCTCTCTCTCATCGTGGCGAGCAGCAGCAAGACCTCGACATTCGCATCGAGCTCCTGAATCACGTCGCTGTAATCGTGCGCAATAATCTAATGGCATTTATTCATCCGAGAACGCCTCAATGATGCCGCTATAACGCGGAACGTGCTCGCTATAACGCGGTTTCTGAGCGGTCCACGATGGACTACTTTCTTGAACTGCACAGCTGAGCGGAGTGATGCGGTGCGCGGGGTGATACGGTGCGTGGCGGCGTACCAACAGTTATTTGTCTCGCCATCTCACTGGGCGTGCGAATGACAACATTGTTACCGAATGTGATGGGTAAATTACCTTCGCTTAACGCGGCACTTTTCAGGAACGCATCTACCGCGCTAAACGAGGACTTACTGTGTATTTCTTTTGAAGGCTGCATAGAGAGGTTAAATGAAGCCATTTGCTGTACTGCAACCTCGCAGCCTAAGCAGGTGTTGGAGAGACTCGTACATCTCCACGTGATCCACCAACCCTTGCCTCCGAAGCAAATGCTGTGTATTTATATATATATAAATATTTAGTAAGCATCAGTGCATATGACGTACAATTTTATCCAATGATGTAACTGAGATTAATATGTTATATATGTATAAATAGGGGGATTACAATTACAACGAATTAAGTTAAACATGTGAACAAATTGTTTATATACAAGGACAAGAGCGAAATGTAATTTAGAAAAATATTTCATGAAAATTGTTGGTGTGTGTGGTAGGAAGACATCTCATTTCCTGGGTATTGTGTGTCTGGGGAGAGTGTTTGTGTGTGCTGAGTGTCTGTCTGGTGAGAGTGTGTGTGATGAGAGTGTGTGTGCGGTGAGTGTGCGTGATGAGAGTGTGTGTGTGATGAGTGTGCGTGGTAGAGTGTGTGTGTGATGAGAGTGTGTGTGTGTCTTGTGAGAGTGTGTGTGTGTCAGGTGAGAGTGTGTGATGAGAATGTATGTGTGTGTGTCTCTGGTGAGTGTGTGTGCCTCTAGTGAGAGTTTGTGTGTGTCTCTGGTGAGTGTGTGTCTGGTGAGTGTGTGATGAGTGTGTGTCTCTGGTGAGTGTGTGTGTGATGAGTGTGTGTGTGTGTGTCTGGTGAAAGTGTGTCTGGTGAGAGTGTGTGTGTGGTGAGTGTGTGCGAGTCTGGTGAGTGTGTGTCTCTGGTGAGTATGTCTGTGTGATGAGTGTGTGTGAGTGTCTGGTGAGAGTGTGTGTGTCTGGTGAGTGTGTGTGTGTCTGGTGAGTGTGTGTGTGTCTGGTGAGTGTGTGTGATGAGAGGGTGTGTGTGTGATGAGTGTGTATGTGCGATGAGAGTCTGTGTGTGTGTCTGGCAAGTGGGGAGCGGTGGTGTAGTGGTTAGCGCGCTGCGCTATGAACCCGCCGACCCAAGATCGATTCCCGCTCACGGCCAACTCCCAGTGGCGAATATCTGAACCGGTCCTGGGCCTCCCCTAGGTCGAGTCAGCCTTAAATGAGTACCTGGTGCGGTGTGTAAACATCGCCACTAGAGAGACAAAGGCGGCCGGGCGTGGTGTTGGCCACCCACCCCCTCGTGTGCCGTGCTGGCCTTTGTAGATGCACGCGAACAGCACTTGCCTCTACAGTCTGTTCAGGCTATAGGGGGATCTTTGTCATGCACGTGTGTGTATGTGTTCATACACACGTGGGTGTGTTCATACGCACGTGGGTGTGTTCATCCACGTGTGTGCGTGTGGTCATGCACGTGTGCGTGTGTGTTCATGCACGTGTGTGTTCATGCACGTGTAGTGTGGTCATGCACGTGTGCGTGTGTTCATACACGTGTACGTGTGTTCATACACACACGTGTGTGTGTGTTCATACACGTGTTCGTGTGTGTGTTTTTCTTTGACTGCAGCCTAATACAAACCCCAAGTCTTATCTCATCCAATCAGCTCGCTCCATTCTGCATCTCAAATCCTCTGTTATTCACCGCACACGTCCACACAGCTAACCTCTCTCACATTCAGCTTTCATCTATCGCTCTTTCTCTCTCGCTCTATTGTTATTATAATTTTGTACTTCTGCGTTATAAAGCGATAATTTTTTTATATATTGTCTACGATTATTAACGTATTATTAATAATATTTGTGCAGCAAAGCTGCCGTGGTGTGGTGTAATGGTCAGTAGGGGCTGTGTTAAAAAAAAAAAATTCTCTATATTTTTGTTACGATACCGGAAAAGGAATGAACAAAAACCTGGTAAAACAAACGGTTACCGGTTCGCGGCACGTATTGTCTCGAGCAATGAAGGCAGCAAAACGCGCGAGATTTCTGCAGCTGAGACAGGGACGGCAGCAGACAGTGGCGGTATCGTGATCTGGAGGTCATCGGTTTAATTCCATCACCCCCGCCCTCTATCCACCCAGAGGTAAACGTTAAATAAAATACGCTATTGTATTAATAATGCTAATAAAATAGGATATAATAAAATACGCTGTTAATAATATTATTAATAAAATAGCATATAATAACATACGCTATTTTATTTTACGAGCTAAAGCCCACCGAGATATGAGCGCTTTTGTTCGGGGTGACCTGGTCGCTCGCGATAATGATAGCTCGCCAGACCATCATCACCACCACCACAACGCGTGGGAGTTTATAGCAGGAGCCAAATCGTCGAAACCCGGTGGAATCCACGATGCGACCACCGCGGAAAGAGAGAGGGAGAGAGAGAATACGCGGACCGCAAATAAACAACAGCAGACATAGTCAGGGTCCGGGATCGAACCCACTCGCCCTGCGTGCCAGGCGAGAGAGAGAGAGAGAACGCCTCCTCGCCACCACGCTGCCCTAACTGGGGTTCCCCCACGGTTCTCGTTCGATCGGCAGGTCACCTGGGTACAATGTGGGTTCTATCAACGTCTTCCAAGACATCTCGCCTACAGAGGGTACAGAGAGACCGACACGTGTCGAGGACTACGGCGAAGACGATGGTGATGATAATGGTGGTGATGATGATGGTGGTGATGATGATGATGGTGGTGGTGATGATGATGATGGTGGTGGTGATGATGATGATGGTGATGATGATGGTGATGATGTTACAAGCGCGTCCTTCCGCCAGCAGCGAACGCGAGAGCCAGGCAATTTGCCCGGCTGCTGCTGTGTCCGCTAAGAAGTATAATTAGCGTGAGCAGCACGGGGTGGGCTGGGATAGCGGCGACGCAACGCCAGCACCCAGAGCCTCAATCCCAGCCCGTGCCGCAAATCGCCTCCTCATCTGAGTCCCAATCGCATTAAAGCGTTGCCCGGAGCGACGGCCGCGACAATTACTGGGCCGGCAAGTTGCAGGACGCGAAGTCGTCCCCCCAGCCAATCGGCGGATGCCACACTCGTTGGGGCCGAGGTCAGGCCGCTACGGCGGTTCGGGCAAGTAGGTCGTTCACCTTCGATAATTGTGGATAGGGGAAAGGTTGTTCAGGTTGGGAGCTTTATTCTTTTTTTGGGTGCCAGTATCAAAGTGTGAACAAAAATAAGATGAGGTGTTTTACCGTTTCTGGCAATAAAACAAGAGGTGGTAAGATGTTCAAACACCAAACAGAAAACCTTTTGGCGTTCTCTGGTCTGACACTGGTGAGACGAGGTCCTACAGACGGCCGTCTCTGGTTTAGACCAATTAGTTTCAAAGACCACTCCGTATATAATGATCAGAGCAATGTTTTTGTTTGCATGTTCACCGCAAGACACGTGTGTGGTTAATGCAGGCTCCATTTGGTGTTGGAGCATAACACAGCTCCTGTTTCATGGCCTGAAAGGGTAAAACGCCTTTTCTTAAATTTCGACGCGTTCTTTGGGTTGTTAGGTGTTGGCCGTTCTCGTTGTGAAATCCCTTTCTCCGTGCGCGTGCAGTGGTGTCGCGGTCTGTGCGTTACGCTACAGAACCAGCGACCCGAGTTCGGTTTCCGCTCACGGTCAACACCGGCGACAATTATCTGAACCGGTCCTGGGCCTTCCCTAGGTCGGCTCAGCCTCAAAACGAGCACCTGGTGCGGTGTGTAGTAAACATCGCCACTGGGGAGACAAAGGCGGACGGACGTGGTGTTGGTCACCCACCCCCTCGCGTGCCGTCCCGGCCTTGAGAGGTGCTCGCTAAAGGCACTTGTCCCTACAGTCTGTTAAGGCTACACGGGGAATCTTTGTATTTGTTTTTAAGTGGAGAGCCGTGGCGCAATGGTTAGCGCGCTCCGGTAAGAACCCGGCTCATCTGCGTTGCAATTTCCCGGCCATGGCGAACGTAAGCGATGAATATTTTAACTTGTCAAAATATATGAGCCTCCTCTAGGTCGACTTAGCCCTAAATTAGTACCGACACAGACACATACATATTACATGCATGTCCAAATACAAAGACCCCCCGTATAGCCTTTAACAGACTGTCAGGGCAAGTGCTGTTAGCGAGAAGCAACAATTAAGGTCGGACCGGCGCACGAGGGGGTGGTGTGGTCAGGACCACGCCAACCCGCCTTTGTCTCCCCTTGTGGCGATGTTTTTAATATCTACACTAGGTACTCATTTAAGGCTGAGTCGACCTAGGGGAGGCTCAGGACCGGCTCATAGATACTCGTCACCGGTGGTTGTGAGCGGGAATTGAACTCGAGGCACCACCACCACCACCGCTTCCCATATATACACAGAGACAAAGCACACGCAAACAAACACGCAGAGGCAGATAAAGAGAACGCCGGCGCCCCATAAATAACGGCCCCTATGCACACACACACAGACACACGCACGCACACACAACCACCACAGTCGGGGAGGCAGGTGCAGGCCCCTTTGTTCCTCCCTGTGTCAACACGGGGCCTCGCTCGCGTCTCCCTCGCCACCGCTGTCTCGTTGAGATCCCCCACGCTCTGTCTCTCAGTGGCCTCAACAAGTGGCGTCGCGTGATTGACAATGGGCGCCTGCGCAGTTACACCGCCTGCACACTCCATAGCCAAGGCCGCTGGCTCTCCGTGTTCGCCCACGTGGCTCTCCGTGGTGTCGTTGTCACGGGCCCTGGTGCAAGGATTTTAAACTTTTCTTTTTCAGAAGCGACCTGGCCACAAATGATAGCCCAATGTTTGTGGCTTATCACGTGGAAATGTGTAGCAGCGAAATACTCTAAACGCGCGATGTTGATTCTAAATGTGGAGGGAAAAACCAGAGGACCCGGAGAAAAATCCACGCGGCAACGTGGAGAGAGAAACACGCAAACTCCAAATATACAGCAGCAGGCGTCAGGGTCGGGATCGAACCCACGGCCTTCTGTGTACCAGGCGAGGTAGTTAACATCTCGCCAATGAGACGCCCCCTTCACTCTATTCAATGCTTCCACTCCTCTCCCTGTAGCCCGGCGCCTGAGCCCCCCCCCCCCCCCCCCCCGGCCAATGAACCACAGCGCAGTCGCACCGCCTGCACACTCCGGAGCTATTCCCATGGCGTCACCCTGCGCCGACACGCGCCCTGCAGGACACCGCCTCACTTCACGCCCCTTGTGGCCATCCAACCGCTGGATGAAGGCCTCTCCACGCCGTGTCAGTTGCGGGTCATTGTTTAGCCATGCTAGTCAATGTGTCCTTGTAGGTTATTGAGGGTGGACGAGGGTGTGGGGAGCGGGGTGGTGAGGGGGGCACGGGTTCATATATAACTTTCCACTGACGCCTTTCCGTGGCTGGGAATAATGAAAGTAAGATTGATGGGGGTCATAACGCAGTGTGCTAACCGCTGCACCACCACTCCAACCATCATCCAATTATCATAATCAGCAGCAGTTGGTGAGTCTCATTGGTAACAGCAGCAATAACAGAAACATCATCAACAGCAGCTTATCTAAATGCGCATAGACACATCGTGTGCGAGTCACAGCAGGGGACCTGTGTTGCGCCTAACGAGGTTACGAGGCAAACATAGCGGACATCGGAGTCACCCAGATCCGTTTAGCGGCCACTTGCGCAGCGTGTGCACAGATGGCAGCACCGCTCAGATTGTCTCTAATTACCATGGCCATCATCATCATGGCCATCATCATCATTATAATGGCCATCATCATCATGTCCATCATCATCATTATGGCCATCATCATCATGGCCATCATCATCATAGCCATCATCATCATCATAGCCATAATCATCATAATGGCCATCATAATGATGGCCATCATCATGGCCATCATCGTCGTGGCAATCGTCATCATGACCATCATCATCGTCGTGGCAATCATCATCATGACAATCATCATGACCATCATCATCATCATGACCATCATCATGATGACCATCATCATCATCATGACTAACATCATGACGATCATCATGATGGCCATCATCATCATGACGATCATCAACAAGTGCTCTCTCGGTCGCTGCACCCAGACACCCCCTGGAAGGGACTCGCTGCTTCCGAAGCACCTCGGAGACAACCGTGTCTCTGCCGCTCTCTCTCCATATTCAAAACGCGACCTCAACGCTGCTCTCTCAGCTGTCAGCTCGCAGCTAGGCGAGCGCGCCGAGGAGATGTTGCTGCTGCTGCTGTCGCCGTGATAGCGCGTCCTGTAGGCGTCTCATTTACAAGCAGCCGCTCGACCCACCACTGATAGGTGGGGGTAGCGTCACGGATACAATACGGTTTTTATTTACGAGGTAAGGCCCCACAGAGCTCGTAAGCGAGCTGGCTATCACAAATGATAGCTCAACGAAGGGGCTGATATCATAATCATCGTCACCGCGTGGAAATGTATTGTAGCAGCAGCCAAATAATCTAAACGCGTGAAGTTGATTCGAAATGTGGAGGGGGAAAACCGCAGGCACCTGGAGAACAATCCACGCGACTACGGGGAGAGAGGGAGACGCAAACCCCAAATATTCAGCAGGCAGTCATGATCGCGAACTACCTCGCATACCAGGCGAGGTAGTTAACGTGCGGGCTAAGGGAAAACGGTACGGGAGAGGTGGAGAAGGAGTCGCGGGGAGTGAGCGAGAGAGAGAGAGCGAGCAAGAGAGAGAACGAGCAGGAGAGAGAGAGAGCGAGCAAGCGAGAGAGCGAGGAACTCACGAAGAAGGGGACGAGGCCGGCGGCACGGTCCGTGGCCACGGCGTCGCTGAGGGCGTCCCCGCGGAGCGAGCAGCGCCCGTCCGTGGGCAGCTTGCGGATCCGCACCGCCGCAAACATCGCGGCGCGCTCCACCGACGAGTGGGCCTGCAGGTGGCACGCGGGCGCGGTCAATCCACTGCTGGACGAGGGCCTCCCGCCCACAGTGGCACGTTCGGCCCATCGTCACCATTGGGCATGGGTCAACCCACGGCTCCACGAAGGCCTCCCCAAGCAGCGCCTCGTAACGGCGGCACACGGATTCGGCCAACGTGGCCCTCGTGCACGAGATCAATTGACGGCTCCGTCTCCACGGCGCGCGTCCTCTCCGTCGCGAGTAGTCTGCCAAACACCATCATTTTAGTCTCGATTATCGGCCATCATCATCATCACTCCCAGCGAGAGTCAGGGTGATGGCATCTCGAATGCTGTTCGTTCTCTCGGCCACGTGTTCGTTCTCTCGGCCACGTGCTCCTTCTCTCGGCCACGTGCTCCTCTTAGCGCCTCTCGTCGGACGCACTTCCAGCTATGCACGGCTCCCTGCTGCTTTGGCGATGCTAACGAGCGCGCAGGCGGTGCAACTGCACCAGGCCCACGGGAGGAAGGGCCCATGCTACGAATAGGAGTTTGGTGGGGGATAATTGGACAACAGGAAAGCGGTGGTCGGGGGGATGTTCCCAGGGAGTCCCATCTCATTCCTCACACCACGGCCCATGCATTCCACACTACTGCTCTGTAGCTCGTTTTTCATGTCACCGGTCCGTGATGTGTTTCGTGTCATACCGAGTTTTTTTTTTCCCGGCATGATGCTCCACGTGCTGCCGAGAACTTCTTCAGTTAAGAAGAAAATCTACCCCTTTGTTGACGAAGAAGACCTCATTTAGGCCACGCCAAGGCACCTGCTCGGAGGTGTAGGCGACCAGGCGGGCCAGGGTGCCCGATGCCCCGGGACTCCCCTGGGGGTCCTGGCCCAGTCTCATCGCGCGATTCCTCGCGGCCAGCATCGCCACCAGCGTCGCCTCGCTCGCCGTGCCCTGCACAGTCGCACACACAGAGACCAAACTCAACTTCACTGTGTTTATGCAACCAGGTAAGGCCCCCACTGAGCGACGTAGCTCTTTATCAGAAAGCGACCTGGCTATCACGAATGATATTTCAACGAAGTGGCTTATAGCGTCGAAATTTGTAGCAGCCAAATTTTCTAAAACGCGTGATGTTGATTCTCAATGTGGAGGCAAAAACCGGAGGAACCGGAGACAAATCGACGCGACCACGGGGATAACGCGCAAACTACATACATAAATATACATATATATGCATAAATATACATATATACATAAATATACATATATACATAAATACATAAATATAGCAGGCGTTCAGGGTCGGAATTGAACCCACAACCTCCTGCACACCAGGCGAGTAAATTAACATCTCGCCACCCTGGAGCCCCTAGAGACAGAGACAAAGGTCCCCGTATAGCCTTTAATAGACTCTGAACCCATCCACGTGGGTGATCCCCCCCGCCCCGCCCCCCTCGACCCCCTTACCTGGATGACCCCCCCTCCGCTGCCCCCTCTACCCCCTCCCCTCACCTGGATGACCCCCCCTCCGCTGCCCCCTCTACCCCCTCACCTGGATGACCCCCCCTCCGCTGCCCCCTCTACCCCCGCCCCCCACCTGGATGACCCCCCCTCCGCTGCCCCCCTCCCCGGTGTCCCCGCACGCCAGGAAGTGCGAGGGCAGCTGCAGAGTCCGCGCCAGCCAGTCCAGCATCACCGTCTCCAGCTCCGTGCACGCGGGGCTCGCGGCCTGGGGGGGGGGGACCGGGGGTGGGGGGCGGGGGGGGGGTGTATAGGGGGGATCGGGGTGGGGGCCAGAGGGGGGGGGAGGAGGTTGAGAGGAATTAAACTTTTACACACACGCACATAGACAGAGACAAAAATCCTCCGTGTAGCCTTAATAGACTGTTGGGGCAAGTGCTGTTAGCGAGTAGCACCTATGGAGGCCGAAACGGTACACGAGGGGGTGGATGCACCGGGTACTCATTTGAGTCGACCTACGGGAGGCCCAGCACCGGTTCAGATAAAACGTCACTGGTGTTGGCCGTGAGCGGGAATCGAACCCACGTCGCTGGGTTCGTAGCGCAGCGTAGCGCTACCGCTCCCCACACAGGCGCAGACATGCGCACAAACACGGCAGTAGAGCAAGTGGGTTCGCGGACTCGTCGGTGGTCGTGGACTCGTCTGCAGAGTGCGGTTAGCCCCCTGCGCCAAGAACCCGGCGACCCCAGTTGGATTCCCCCTAGGTCGACTCAGCCTCGAATTAGTATCTAATCCGGTGTAGTGATCATCAGCACTGGGGAGACAAAGGCGTCCGAGCGTGGTGCTGCTGACCATCGACCTCCTCGTGTGCCGTGCTGGCCTTCATGGTTGCTCGCTAACAGCACTTGCCCCCACAGGCTGTAAGGACTATACGGGGGACCTTTGTCTTTGCGTGTATGGATTGGAGCTCGTGGACATACCCAGGAGAAGCCGATGCAGCCGATGGCGCCCGAGAGCATGTCGCCGAGGAGAGCGGGGTACGAGTTGGCTCCCGGGAAATAGGCGTGGAAGTGAGGGCTACTCCAGTGCGTGACCTGCACATGGGCACATCATCATCAGCATCGTCGTCGTCATCATCATCATCAGCATCTTCGTCGATTACTCATCATCAGTTTTGAATGTTTTCATCATCGAACAGTCATCATCAGCATTGAATACTGCAATCATCATCACAAGCATCATCGATGTTTGTAACACCACCACCATCATCATCGTTACCACCACAAACATCAGTACTGACGTTGTCATCATCGTCACCATCATCATTTCAAAAAACGATCATCATCGCCTCCATCAAACTTATCATCAGCATTGAATACTGCAATCATCATCATCATCATCAGAAACTTCTGGTTTAACACCGTTTTGAGACTAGGCTCTAAAGAAAGCTGTCTCTGGTATGGACCAATCAGTTTCAAGGACAATGCATATATTATCAGAGTATGTTTTTTTGTTTGCATTCTGACCACAATTATTGTGGTTAATGCAGTTACATGATTCCTTGTAAAAGGTTTCAGTTTGATGTTTGGTCCGCCACAGATGCTGACTCGGCATCTGTGGCGGCCCAGGCGACTCCTCATGCGGGGTGGAGGGGCGGTGGATCAGTCTGTGGACGGGCCGAGTGGTTTAAACACCACGCCTTGAGACTTTAGATGATGCGGCTGCCACGAATTCCAACGCGACGATCAGCCACTTCGTTGAGCTATGATTTGTGGCCAGGTCGCGTCTGAAAAGTAGCTAATAGCTCAGTGAGCTTTACCTGCTAAGATAAAACATTGATTTGTTGCATTTGCTACTGAGCATCTGTAAAGAATAAGATTTTTTATAGCTCATCGGATTCCTCCTGCAAGCTTGACCATGCGACGCGGTTGAGCCTGCCGGGATTACTCACGCCGGGCATGACGACTCTCTCCACGTCCTCCATCACGTCTCGGAAGGTCTCGGGGGTCCGCGGGGGTTCCGCCGGGATCAGGGGCCTCAAGTACCCGGGCAGTACGTCGGGGTAGACGGGGCGGGTCCGTATGGTGGACAGGTAGTCCGCGATGTAGTCCACCATCTCCTTGCCACATCGTCGAAATTCCTCCTCGTCCATCCTGCGCAACGTGGCGGGGGGGGGGGGGGGGGGTGTCATCGATCGCGATCGAGTCTAAAAGGCTCCTCGCGACAACGCGATATATGTGTTAACGATCTTTATATGTGGGGCGCCGTGGTAGCGAGATGTTAAATACATCGCGTGGTCTACAGGAGGTCGTGGGTTCGGTCCCCACCCTGACGCCTGCTGCTGTATATTTGGAGTTTGCGTGTCTCTCTCTCCCCACGTGGTCGCGTGGAGAGAGAGAGAGACACGCATTTAGAGTATTTAGCTACAATACATTTCCACGTGATGAGCCATTTCGTGAAGCTACACATTGTGGTCAGGTCGCTTCTGAGAAAAAAGCTACTTACGTGGTGAAATTAAAATAGTTTACGTTGGGAGCGGACGTGTTGATTGACACGTGTTGCGTGCTGTTGTGGTTGCAATGGTTGGGCGCACTGCGCGTCGATTCTATCTCCCGACGCGCCAGTAAACATTAAGAGCAAGTCTGTTGTGACATCTCCCGTTCCCCCACCGCCTCCCCTGTCCACCCATCACTCTACCACAACAGCTGATCGATCAGCAGGGCCGTGTGGGTTGGGGTCAAGTGTGGGTATTCCCAACTCTTCCCAGAGGGTTGACCAGCGTGGAAGAGTCGGCCAACGCGTACCCCTCCTCTAGAGGGGCTCTCTGAGAGTTCCCTCCAGTGGAGGCCCCCTCCGCCAGCAGTGGAGAGTGAGCGAGCAGTTGCAGGGACGCGCCTTTGCATTGGGATCACGTGATACCTGCAGCCACTATCTAAAGGTTTGTATGCGATGTGTCAGTGACAATTGTTGGTTCGCTGACGCACAAAGATAAAGATCCCCCGTATTGCCTTCACAAACCGTTGGGGCAAGTGCTGTCAGCGAGAATCTTATGAAGGTCATGAAAGCACACGAGGGGGTGGTGTGGTTAGGACCACGCCCGGCCGCTTTTGTCTCCCTCGTGGCAATGTTTACACATCACACCAGGTGCAGTAGTCATTTTGAGGCTGAGTCGACCTAGGGGACGCCCAGGACCGGTTCAGATAATCGTCACCGCTGTTAGTGGCTGCGAGTCGGAATCGAACTCGGGTCGCCGGGTTCGTAGCGCAGCGCTAACCGCTACGCCACCGCTCCCCGTAGATTTACATTAACACACGGGCACACTCACACCGTGAACACACACCTACCCACCCATTATCTATCAATCCCTAAACCCGTGCCTTATAATCCGGATATTATTATTACAAGCGCCCGGGCATTTGTACAAATCTTTGTATTACCGTGTTCCCTGTAGTATAAGTCGCTCCAGAAAGTAAGACGCAGCCCCGACTCGTGGCCCCTGTCAAGAACGTGGCCACACGTGTCCGCAGGCACGCCCGGATTGTAAGACGCACCCGTCCCCCTTCACCTCCAAATCGTCGTTTTTAATGCGCACAGGGAAAACGAGTGCGTGTTATCATCGAGAGAATACGGTGATAAAGGAAGTGCATTTACGCTGGGATATTTGTCAGATCTTCAATTCACTTCTCGCGAGTGGAGGCAGCGGCGGCAGCAGCGCTGTGGTTCAGGAGCTCGATGCCAGTGTCGAGGTCCTGCTGCTGCTGCTGGCCACGACGAGATCGAGGCCTCAGCAGGGAGAGTGAGAGAGTTCGCGTCGTGTCGACGTTCCCCCACCGGCGTTGAAGGAGCGCAGACTGCAGCGGGTTCAAAGTACTGTACAGGGCATTAAGCAACGTTCCAGTTAATATTCAACCAACTATGGAGCAGTAGTGGTCTGTACTGCACACCGATAGTCCGTGCGCGCATCACCCGTAACGCGACCGATCATCACGCAAGCTAAGCAGGCTCGAGCCTGCAGCAATGATTGCGTGTCTCTCGCGTGTCTGCAGCGTGTCTGCAGCGTGTCTGCAGCGTGTCTGCAGCGTGTCTGCAGCGTGTCTGCAGCGTGTCTGCAGCGTGTCTGCAGCGTGTCTGCAGCGTGTCTGCAGCGTGTCTGCAGCGGGCTTTCAGTGCGTTCGAGTGTTCCAATCCCCTCGACAATCCCCGGGTTGTCTCCGGCTCTCTGCTCTCCTCCCACACGCAGAAGACAAATTGCCGCCCACATCTCGAACCAGCCCAAATGTAGCAGGACCCTCCTGGCTATCATTACGGCGTTGCTGGATTAATAAATGCCACGATGTTCTTACGCACAATGGCAGCGGCAGCAGCAGCGATGTTGTTCAGGAGCTCGATGCCAATGTGGAGGTCTGTAGTTGGTGCTGAACGAATGTTTAATGTCGATTCCTAGATTGTCCAACCATATTTCCGAGACTGCTTAATCATTCCGCAATGTCCTCACTGCTTAACCCAGAGACATCACTCCGCGCTGCTGTCCTGATATCTCTCCAGCCACGCGAATCTCACCAACCGAGACGGATTTCCATAGACTCATAGCCCTCCCAAAGAGAACAGCACTCACACAGAGCAGCATAGACTCATACACACTCCCAAAGAGACCAGTATACACACAGAGAGACTCGTACGCCATCCCAAAGAGAACAGCATACTCACACAGATCTATAGACTCATACACACTCCGAAAGAGACCCATAGACTCACAAAGAGACCCATAGACTCACAGAGGCCCATCGTCTCACATGAACACCCATTGGATCACGGCGAGACCCACAGACTCACTTAGAGTCGCATCATGAACGAACACAGACTCACATGGAGACCCAGAGTTTTGCATGCAGCGACAATGCAACACGAGCTGCATGTACATGGGACGCTGCCCCGGTGTGATGGATATTAGGATGCCTTTGCAATGCACAAGTTGCCGATTCGATCTCCCTGCGCGACAGTGGATTAATTCGGGACAGCTTCTTAATCCTCCTCCGCTCCCCTCCGCCGCCGCCTCTGTCCAACCCACAGCTAACGGTGCAAATGGGTAGACCGCGGTGAGCGGATCAGCAGGTCGCGTTGCGGTGGAGGTAAAGTTCGGCTACTGCCGCCTATTATCCAAGACGTCTGTGACAGCGTGTACGCGCATATCGCTGAGCCGCCCCTACTGAACATCTTGCGAAAGAAAGAGCTTCACAGCTCATCGGATTCCTCCGGTCTCTGTGCGGATTCAAATTCTGACGAGACAATCGACCGTTGTATAATGAGCACTCGCTCTCTCTGCCGCTCTCTCTGCCTCTCTCTCTGCCTCTCTCTCTGCCTCTCTCTCTGCCTCTCTCTCTGCCTCTCTCTCTGCCTCTCTCTCTGCCTCTCTCTCTGCCTCTCTCTCTGCCTCTCTCTCTGCCTCTCTCTCTGTCTCTCCGCCTCTCTCCGCCTCTCTCCGTCTCTCTCCGTCTCTCTCCGCCTCTCTCCGTCTCTCTCTGCCTCTCTCTGCCTCTCTCTCTGCCTCTCTCTCTGTCTCTCTCTGTCTTGATCCAATTCCTCGGACTCACCTGAGTGGCGGCTCGCGTCGGAAGCCCCGAGCCTCGCTCGCGCCTCGTGCAGCGCGGCTACTCGCGCGCTGCCCCCAGATGTTGATAGCCCAGGGGGGGATGAGAGAGCAGTGCGCGTGTGCGAAACGGAGCCGAGGGTCGGTCGAGGGAGGGGTGGGTGGGGTGGGGTTTTGGGGTGCGTGGGTGTATGGTAGGACGAGTGGATGGGCGGGCGAGTGGATGGCTGGATGGATGCATTAGATTGGTGATTGGGGGTGTAGGTGGATGAGTGGACGGATGCGTGGATTATGATTGGCGGGTGGATGCATATGTGGTTGATTTGGTGGGATGATGGATGGGTGGATGTGTGTATAGATGGGTGAGTGAAATTGTGTTAGAATCTGTGGATAGGTGGATGGATGGGTGAGTCTATGTGTCGATCATCTATCCACGGTGCAGTGGTATTGTGCAGGACGAATGTAGGAAGTGAAGAACGGGTTAGACAGCATGTCAGGGTTGCTGGGTGGGTTCGTGGATGAGTGGATGCGTACATGGATGAGTGGGTGGATTCTCACAGTGGGTGGATGGGTGAGTGAATAAGTGGATGGGTAATTAATTGGGTGGGCCACTGAAATGAATGCACGTGTGGTGATATTGAATGAGTCACTGTAGCGCGTGGCGCTGGGAGATTGGTAGAGAATGGGATTGTGGGTAGCAGCTCGCTCTACCAGTTGGACCCGTGGGCCAAGCCCGAAGCCTTCTGGGGGATCCAGAAGGGTGCGTGGCCGAGGGCGGAGCCTGGCCACGCTGGGGAGGATAAAAGGCGAGTTCCGACTCACAGTCGGGGCTGCGGCCATCGGGAGTGGAACTCATTATGCTGGGGTTGTCGTGGTCTTCGCCTCTTCAAGCTGTGGGTCTGGAAGCATGTTGGCTGTACCGACCCGGTATGGAGTTATCCCGTATCGCTGTGAGAGCCGGAATAAACAAGAGGGATAACGCCTCCTACTAGTGTCTCTGAATTAGTACACTACATTTGTGTAAATGGGTGGAGGGCTTGATGGCCTGATGGGTGGATGGCTTGATGGGTGGATGGCTGGATGTGTGGATAAATCGCTAGACGGACGGATGGGTGTATGCACGAATGAACAGACGGATTGATAAATGAAGTGGGAAATGGATAGATGAACAGATGTATGATCTGACTGGCGGCTGTGTGGCGAGATGAACGACACGTGGAGCTGCCGACAATCGGTGGCATCTACACGGACATTGCTGTCGGGCTGTCCCCTCCTATTCACCTCTGCCTGCCTGTTGCTTCGCCCGTCTGTCTCTCTCTGTTGTACCGCTGTGTCTGTCTCTTTACATGTCCCGTCTCGCTCTTCACCTTGTATGTGCCCTGTTGCTGTAAAGGGCCATTGCCCGAAACGTTCGCCAACTGAATGGAGTACGTGTGTGTGTTTTGAGCGGTAGTGTAGTGGTTGGCTCGCTTCGCTTCGAACCCGGCGTCCCGAGTTCAATTCCCGCTCACGGCCAGCATCAGTGACGATTATCTGAACCGGTCAGGGCTTCCCCGAGGTCGACTCTGCCTCAAATGAGTACCTGGTTCGGTGTGGAAACATCGCCACTGGGGAGACAAAGGCGGCCGGGCGTGGTGCTGGCCACCCACCCCTTCGTTTGCCCTTCCGGCCTTCATAGGTGCTCGCTAACAGCACCTGCCCCAACAGTCTGTTACAGGCTATACGGGGGACCTTTGTCTTTTGTGTTTCCGCGATCGTCTGGGGGCGCGGTGTCGCAGTGGTTTGTGCATTGCGCAGTTCCACTGCGTTGGGCTCACGGCCGGACATTGGCGGCTGCCGAGTGATCTCTGAACCGATGCCACGACTCGCGTGCCCTGGGCGCCACCTATCGGCCGCCTGTCGCACTGCGCCACCGACGGTCGATGACACCTGCGCGTGTGGCAACGTGATGTGTGTGTGTCCCATCACGGGGACCTTAGTTGTTGTTGTTGTCAGTATCAAAGAATGAAAGATCAGTGTTTACCCTTGCTGGGAATAACACAGGAGGTGTGAAGATCTTCGCCAAATGATGTTCGAAACAAGGTATCCCATGATAGTTGCTCACCCCGACCTAGAAATGCTCTCTCACGTGTGGCATTGGCCTTGTACTGTTCGACTTTTGGCGTTGTTCTCTGGGCTGACTTGATGGCCTAGTGAGACTAGTGAGACTAGGCCATCAAAACATTTCTGGTGTAGGCCAATCGGTTTCAAAGACAATTCATATGTAAAATTTCGATTTCGGGACTTTAGTAAAGTCACGTAGAAGGGAAATAATAAAATAATAAAAATTAAACAATAAAATAAAAGTCTCACGACGTTTCGGCCACAACACAAGCAGCCGTCCTCAGGTGAAGAAACAGAGCTGTCTTTCCGACAGTTCTGTTTCTTCACCCGAGGACGGCTGCTTGTGTTGTGGTCGAAACGTCGTGAGAATTAAATTTTATTGTTTGATTTGTATTATTTCCCTTCTACGTGACTTTACCGAAAGAATCAAGAAGATGAATTCATACATTATCAGAGCATGTTTATTTTACGTTTTCACCAAGCACCATGTGTGGTTAATGCAGGCTTGATTCCTTGCTAAAGTATCGATTTGGTGTTGGAGCACCTGAACGCCTCCTGTTGCATTGCCAGAAAGGGTGAAACGCCCACTATTATTATTTCACATACCTCATGTATGTTGAACCTTTTTTCGCACCGTACGCATTCAACCTTGCGCGTCGGAGGTGCGGCGAAGGACAAAAAAACTAAACGCAACAGCAGTTCTATAAGTAAATGAAGGTGGCCGGGGATAGCTGAATGCCGGTTGATAATGGCCGTGTCAGGGAGACACAGAGCCGGCAAAGGTGAGATACCCGAGTTCGATTCCCGCTCACGGCTAACACCAGTGCAGATTTTTTATTGGAACCTGTCCTGGGCGTCCCCTACGTCGACTCGGCCTCAAATGAGTACCTGGGTGCTGTGCGTAAACATCGCCACTGGGGAGACAAAGGTGGCCGTGCGTGGTGCTGGCCACCCACCCCCTCGTGTGCCGTGTCGGCGAATAGCACTTGCCCAAACCTTCTGGTAGAGGCTATACGGGTGACCTTCGTCTCTACGCACTCGCACGTGTTTGCCTGTGCGTGAGAGATCAACATCGACGTCAAAACCACGATTTGAATCGGGGTTCATTTCCATCACGAGACGGATTAAGCGAGCCTCGGTGTTTTTTAAAGCGATCACACAAACCGCGGCATTAGGTTGGTGTGTTTTTATTCAAACAAATATTTGCTTGCCAATCTGGCCAGAATTTTTTTTCAACAGAACCTTGCCATCGGTCGTGCCGCGAGCTGCTCGGCACGATGTCCGACGTTTCGCTGCACGAATTTTTCTTTTTTTTACAATTATTATTACGGTTTATTTCGCCAAGGAAAGCTTCGCTGAGTGTCACCTCTTTCGTCGGAAGGGTCCTGCAACGTTCTCGCTGTAGGGGGGTGCGATCTGCTGCTACTGCGGCTGTTGGTGTGAGGCCGAGTGAGTGTCGCAGTAGTAGCTGTATGTGTAGTAGTAGCATGTGTCGTAGTAGCTGCATGTGTAGTAGTAGTAGTAGCATGTGTAGTAGTAGAAGTAGTAGTTGCATGTGTAGTAGTAGTAGCTGCACGTGTAGTAGTAGCTGCACGTGTAGTAGTAGCTGCACGTGTAGTAGTAGCTGCACGTGTAGTAGTAGCTGCACGTGTAGTAGTAGCTGCACGTGTAGTAGTAGCTGCACGTGTAGTAGTAGCTGCACGTGTAGTAGTAGCTGCACGTGTAGTAGTAGCTGCACGTGTAGTAGTAGCTGCACGTGTCGTGGTAGCTGCACGTGTAGTAGTAGCTGCACGTGTCGTGGTAGCTGCACGTGTCGTGGTAGTTGGATGTATAGTAGCTGCACGTGTAGTAGTAGCTGCATGTGTAGTAGTAGCTGCATGTGTAGTAGTAGCAGTATGTGTAGTAGTAGTAGTAGCTGTATGTGTAGTAGTAGCTGTATGTGTTGTAGTAGCTGTATGTGTAGTAGTAGCTGTATGTGTAGTAGTAGCATGTGTCGTAGTAGTAGCTGCATGTGTAGTAGTAGCATGTGTCGTAGTAGTAGCTGTATGTGTAGTAGTAGCTGCACGTGTAGTAGTAGCTGCACGTGTCGTAGTAGCTGCACGTGTCGTAGTAGCTGCACGTGTAGTAGTAGCTGCACGTGTAGTAGTAGCTGCACGTGTAGTAGTAGCTGCACGTGTAGTAGTAGCTGCACGTGTAGTAGTAGTAGCTGCACGTGTAGTAGTAGTAGCTGCACGTGTAGTAGTAGTAGCTGCACGTGTAGTAGTAGTAGCTGTACGTGTAGTAGTAGTAGCTGTACGTGTAGTAGTAGTAGCTGCATGTGTAGTAGTAGCTGCATGTGTTGTAGTAGTAGTAGCTGCATGTGTTGTAGTAGTAGTAGCTGTATGTGTAGTAGTAGCTGCATGTGTCGCAGTAGGTGTAGTAGTAGCTGCATGTGTAGTAGTAGTAGCTGCATGTGTAGTAGTAGCTGCATGTGTTGTAGTAGCTGCATGTGTAGTAGTAGCTGTATGTGTAGTAGTAGCTGCATGTGTAGTAGTAGTAGCACGTATTGTAGTAGTAGCTGCACGTGTAGTAGTAGCTGCACGTGTCGTAGTAGCTGTATGTGTAGTAGTAGCTGCATGTGTAGTAGTAGCTGCACGTGTAGTAGTAGCTGCACGTGTAGTAGTAGCTGCACGTGTAGTAGTAGCTGCACGTGTAGTAGTAGCTGCACGTGTAGTAGTAGCTGCACGTGTAGTAGTAGCTGTATGTGTTGTAGTAGTAGCCGCATTTGTCGTAGTAGCTGTACGTGTAGTAGTAGCTGCACGTGTAGTAGTAGCTGCACGTGTAGTAGTAGCTGCATGTGTAGTAGTAGCTGCATGTGTAGTAGTAGCTGCATGTCTAGTAGTAGCTGCATGTCTAGTAGTAGCTGCATGTCTAGTAGTAGCTGCTTGTGTAGTAGTAGCTGCATGTGTAGTAGTAGCTGCATGTGTCGTAGTAGCTGCATGTGTAGTAGTAGCTGCATGTGTAGTAGTAGCTGCATGTGTCGTAGTAGCTGCACGTGTAGTAGTAGCTGCACGTGTCGTAGTAGCTGCACGTGTTGTAGTAGCTGTATGTGTAGTAGTAGCTGCATGTGTGGTAGTAGTAGCTGTATGTGCAGTAGTAGCTGTATGTGTAGTAGTAGCTGCATGTGTAGTAGTAGTTGCATGTGTAGTAGTAGCTGTATGTGTAGTAGTAGTAGCTGTATGTGTAGTAGTAGTAGCTGTATGTGTAGTAGTAGTAGCTGTATGTGTAGTAGTAGCTGTATGTGTAGTAGTAGCTGTATGTGTAGTAGTAGCTGCATGTGTAGTAGTAGCTGCATGTGTAGTAGTAGCTGCATGTGTAGTAGTAGCTGCATGTGTAGTAGTAGCTGCATGTGTAGTAGTAGCTGCATGTGTAGTAGTAGTAGTAGCTGCATGTGTCGTAGTAGCTGCATGTGTCGT